AATATATTATTGAATTACCGCATGATGACAACAGAACCACAACTCTCTTCCAAATGTAGTCAAAAAAGTCATTTGATTCACTTGGGGATTTGAATCAACAGTCGCTTCCAACTGAATCGGCGTTGATAACAGAGATTTATTTTGAAAATCGTTTAACAACCTTTTTTGTAGTTCTTTAATTCGTTGTGCCGCAAAGGTAGGTGATGTTTCTATGGATTCCTAAAAAAAGATAAAGTATGTAAATATTAAAGAGGAATTTTTACCAATCAAGTGTTGTCGCTTACATGACTCTTTCGATTGTCATAATTGACGGTCCATATTATGTCACTATTATCAATACCAATATTGCTATTATTAATGATAGTTCCCCTCTCATATAAATCTTTGTTGTTTTCTTTTATACTATTATTCGATTCGTTTTTTAAAAGCAACAGGCGAAAATGATCAATCATATGTCTTTTTGGAGTGAATAAAAGGCGATAAATTATTATCGAGAAAAAAATTAAAAAATTCACAAAATCAGTTTAATTATTATACCTCACATGTTTTCCTATTGTACTTTTTGGTACAAAATCACTTTTCCACGTATAAGTCTCATTCGAAGGTAACGACGAAAGTAAATCAATGCACTGTTGTAAAACCTGACAAGAAATTTTATTCAGTTCTTGCTCTTTTTCGGAATTTGTAGTATTAATAATGCCAGAATTGGTATTTAAATTACTATTATTTAAAGTAACAATATTGTTGTTTGAATCGTGCGATTCCATGATCTTTGAATCACTGCAGTGGGTGGTAGTTTTTTATTTTATAATCCTAGTAATTAATTATGACGATTATGACGTAAAATTTAGAGATGGGCAAATGCACGCATAATAAGCTTTACATAAAATCCATATATAGTAAAGTAATCCTATACGCGAGTCAATTGTAATACACGAGTCAAGTTATAGTTTAACTATTCATGATACACACTATCGCTATATGGCATAATCAACATATAGTGATCGACAAAATGCGAATAAAAATAGATCAACATCTCACCTCGCATTTTTTATTGTACTGTAGAGTACTATGTCTCGAGAATCCTTTATTAGCGCTACTAGAAATATTCTGAAAAGTAATTCTGCTACCTTATGGGATTGTGGCTCAAAGGTAGACACCCATGAAAATCTTGTTCACGCGATTGATGCCCTTCTTGCAACCAATGTAGCCAATATCTGTACAAATGAGCAAGAATGTTTAGAGTTGTTGATACTTGGGTGTAAAGCAATAAATACCCTAAGCGAACAACTCATTTCGAAATTCAGTAAACTCCTCTTTAGTATATTTAATAAACAGCAGGTATTAGCAGCAGCCTTTACTTATTGTCAATCTATTGGCTCTACGCGAATAATAAATAACGATACTAATTGCTGCAACACAACCTGGAGTAGTTTAATTTTAATTCAAATACTTTAAGAGAATCTCTGGAAGTCCTATTATCTTTTTTGATTGATGCTTATTCATCATGTGCCTACACCTCAACAAAAGTAGACATCCTAAGGGCTCTTAGCAAGGTCCTTTATGAGAATGGAAACCAATGTGAAAAGGTTGAAGTCAAATCGTAAATCATTCACATCATCTTTCAAGAAGTTTTATTTAACCTATGGAGTTATATCATTTAGTTTCATGTTCGACTTCTCAACACCTTGATCTCGCTTGCACAACCTGATAATCCTCAGCTAGAAATACGCCGTATGGCTATCAATTGTCTGGGAAATTTAAGCGCTCGCACCGGAAATAAGTTAAATGGAAAATATCGTAGCATTTATGATGTTTTATTTGCTAATCTAAATGCGGGCATTACCGAGTCGGATGAAATCGCTTCGTCAAAGGCATTTATTAATTTTTTTTATTTTCTCTTTTATTTTTGGTTGTTTATGCTAACTTGATACGTGTTTATTCATAAGATTATAAGTAGTGCTCTCCGCGCTTTGCACTTTGTAATAAATGAAGATAAAAATCTTCTGAAGGAACCTTTTGGAACTGCGATTGAAACTATTAGGGTCTA